CTCCTGCAGGAGCGCGAGCAGCTGGAGAAGGAGAGGCTGAGGGTGGAGGAGCTGAAGAAGTTGTGGACGGAGAAAGAGAAGAAACTCCACACTCAGCCAGAGAGCCAGAAGGAGCAGCTAATGACCCAACTCCAGCAGGTAAACAACAACAACAACACAGAACCACAAACAAACCCTGGAAATTACAGCAGACCAGAGAACGTATTTCTAATTCTCTTAGTTTTCCTACTCTGGAGCTCAAGGCTAAAGCCATTTTAGAAAATCTCAACAAATCCACGCCAGAGATCAGAGAACAGCGATGTTTTCATTCTGTTTTTAAATAACGTTGTGTTTTAACTCAAAGTGTCCATTCTTTATTCAAAATATGCAAAAACCTATATAGCACTTTATTAGAAACACCTCCTTGTATCTACACTCACTGTCCATTCTAACAGTTCCACTGACCATATAGGAGCACTTTGTAGTTTGCTGCTGTGTCTGATCCACTCAGACCAGCACAACGCACACACCACCACCACATCAGTGTCACTGCAGTGCTGAGAATGACCCACCACCCAAATAGTACCTGCTCTGTGGGGGTCCTGGGGGGCCGTGACCACTAAAGAACAGGGTAACAAAGTATGCAGAGAAACAGATGGACTACAGTCTGTAATTGTAGAACTACAGAGTGAAACTATACGGTCAGTGGAGCTGATACAGTGGTAAAATGGACAATGGGTGTGGATACACAGACTTAATGAAGTGTTCAGTGAGTGTATATATATATATATATATATATATATCCTCTCCATCATCTGCAAACACATTACAGAACACCTCAAAATGGAACTGTTGGGCCTCAGACTCTGTGTGAAATGAGCTCATAAGATGTGCACTTGTGAAAGCTGCTTCCACATGATCTTGCATGTCAGTGATCAGACGGCCGCGTCCCTGCAGCTGTAGGGTCAGTGTGTGTAGATGGTCCCCAGATCACACAGCCGTCTTTCATTTTTTAGCTCTGTGACTTCTTTACCCTTGTTTTCTTTGAAGTGACAGGTTTCCTTGTGAGGTTTATCCTTATTGGAAGTGAAACGTATTTGAGCTGTTTTGAAAACCGCTGCATTCACTGTCCACTTTTCCTCCGGTCATTTTTTTAGGTGTTTTTTTGCTCGCTGTGTGTTCATATTAGTTGGACTGCAGCTGAAACACAGTGTGGAATCGTGGTGTAACTGCTGTCCCATCGATTGCTGTTGGGTGTGTGAGGGGTGGGAGCGCACATTATGTTGCGGTGCATGCTGGGGGCTGTAGTGCAGCACACTGTGAAACGGGCTACTATCAAAGTGCGAAACACAGGGGGTCCTGGGGGTCTGGGACTCCTAATTAACCTCTTGGACCCCTTGAATGTCTCAGAATCAAACCTGAGGGGTCCCTGAAAATAAACTTATTATGATGTTATGCTGTTCATTCATACAGACCCGATTAGCACCATGCTAAGCTTCCATTAGTTGTTCGCTACATTAGCCTCGCAGCTCCCAGCATGTCTCGGCTGATGAGCTGCATTTGGGTTAAAGATGGGGGATCTGATTCTGCTTTAGTGTTAAAGTGACAGAGTGTCCCTGTGCAGGAGAAGGACACAGTGGACGGTGCAGTGCGGGCGTTTGAGGACTGGGAGTTCCGCATTCTGGAGCTGGAAAGCGGCCTGGAGGAGGAGACCAGCCACGGAGAAACGGAGAGAGAGATCAGCCGAGAGGAACACGCTGTAAACATGGCTCAGGTGAGAGAGAGACAGAGAGACAGACAGTCTATTTTTCTATTCAGTCTATTTTATAGACAGACAGTCTATATTTGACAGTTGGAGGTCAAATATACAATATAATAAAAACCATATACAGTAACACACAGTGCTGCGTAAAGATCGACACAAAGAGAACAGAATATTTTAAACAAAGCAAGGCAGTAAAACAAGGCTGCGGTTTGAGTCCCACCTCGTTTAATGTATATATAAATGAATTGACCACTAAATTACACAATTCAACCACTCCTGGACTCTCAGAAGACCAGGAAATAAAATGTCTAATGGACGCAGATGATCTAGTGATATTAGGACCAACAAAAGACGCACTCCAGCAGAACCTGTCAATACTGGAGACTTACTGTAAAGACTGGGCCCTTACAGTAAATATGGACAAAACAAAAATAATGATTTTTCAAAATAAAGCCAGATTACAGGAGAAGAAATACCAGTTTACTTTTGAAGACACAGTAATATCACACACCACCAACTATCCTTATTTAGGTGTGATATTAAATTCAGCAGGACATTTTAAATCAGCGATTACAGCACTGACGGAAAAAGCTCGCAGATCTTACTACATGATTAGAAAAACAATTTCCAAATTCAGCGTTACAATCTGGTTAAAATGATTTAAATCAGTAATTGAACCAATAATGTTATATGGCAGTGAAATCTGGGGACTAGAAAGAACACAAAATTATGAAATTTGGGACAAAACACCCACAGAACTATTTCATCTTGAATTTTGCAAAGACGTCCTGCAGGTGAACAGAGGTGTCTCTAATCTGGCCTGCAGAGCAGAGCTGGGCAGGTTTCCGCTCATTCTGGACACCCACTAAACCAGCTCGCCAGGATAAAGAACTTAGAGGCCAACCTGACAGCTCAGCGCTCCACACTGAGAGAGGCTGAGGATAACAGAGCAGATCACAGCCTCTACTGGAGAAACCAGATCACTCACCAACACAGACTCACATGATACGAAATGCTTGATCAGAAATACTCATTAGCCAATTATCTAATCAGGATCAAAGATAACAAACAAAGACAAATACTAACGAAGTACAGACTGAGTGACCATAAACTGGCCATAGAAACAGGGAGGCAAAGGAAAAGCAGGCTGGACAGAGAGGACAGGATCTGCACCCACTGCCCGTCAGGAGAGACAGAAACTGAGAATCACTTCCTTCTTTCATGTTCAAAATATAAAACCATCAGAGACGCTTTTCTGCCCAAATTTACTAATAAAACCCCCTCCTTCCCCAAACTGACCGACTCCTTCCCCAGACTGACCGACTCCTTTCCCAGACTGACCGACTCCTTCCCCAGACTGACCGACTCAGAGAAAATTAAAATTTTACTGGGAGAAAATGTAGAAACAATAAGTTTAGCAGGACAGTTTATTCAGAACCGCCACAAGATCAGAGAAGAAAATGTAACAAAGCACTTCAGTTATATAATTAATATTTCTAATTCCTGATGTTCAAATTGTACTACATTTTTCATATGTACCTTGTTTGTTTTATTTATTTATTTTTAATTATTATTATTATTATTTTATTGTATTTTATTTTATTACATTTGGCATGTCCACACTCATTCTATGCTTATATGTATTACCATATTTATTTATTATTATTTTTTTTTCCCTATTTATTTTCTATTCATTTTTTTTCCTATTCATTTATATTTTAATAATAATTCAATTTAAGATGTATTTACAGCTTTGGCAACATAGGTCTTATATCCTGCCATGCCAATAAAGCATATTTGATTTGATTTGATTTGATTTGACAGAGACAGAGAGGAGAGAGAGAGAGACAGAGAGAGAGAGAGAGTGAGAGAGAGAGAGAGAGAGAGAGAGAGAGAGAAGAGAGAGAGAGACAGAGAGAGAGAGAGAGTGAGAGAGAGAGAGAGAGAGAGAGAGAGAGAGAGACAGAGAGAGAGAGAGAGAGAAGAGAGAGAGAGACAGAGAGAGAGAGAGAGAGAGGAGAGAGACAGAGAGAGAGACAGAGAGAGAGACACAGAGAGGAGTGAGAGAGAGATTCAGAGACAGAGAGAGAGAGAGACTTTTGACTTTTAAACCCCTTTAATGAACCATTGTCCACAGCGTAAGAGCATCACAACCAGCTCAAAATAAAATCACAAACAGAACAAAGAAAAAAAAAATTAAAACAAAAGCCAGCTCTGAGAGAGAGAGAGAGAGAGAGAGAGAGACAGAGACAGAGAGAGAGACAGAGACGAGAGAGAGAGAGAGCAGAGACAGAGACAGAGAGAGAGAGAGACAGAGACAGAGACAGAGAGAGAGAGAGAGAGAGAGAGAGACAGAGACAGAGACAGAGAGAGAGAGACAGAGACAGAGAGAGAGAGAGAGAGAGAGACAGAGAAGAGAGAGAGAGAGAGAGAGGTCCCTCTTTGTGTTTGTGAGCTCCAGTCTGGTTAAACTGGTTGGTGAGTAAATCCTGTTGTCGGTCCATCACAGTTCACTCCTTTATAAAGAGCGCTGCTCTGCTCTGCCTGAGCTCTGTGTTTGTGCACAGGCCTCTGTATGTATATATGGGTGTAAATGTCCATGATCCAACCCCTGACCGCCCCCCCCACCCCCACTCGCAGCCTATATACAGCACATGATGCTGCAAACAGGCCTAATTACATCAAGCAGGAGGGAGTGGAGGGACAGAGAGGGGTAAACAGCTTACGGTTCACATTTAAAGGGCCCATATGGTGGAAAACTGAAACCTTTCCCGTCTTTTAAAATAGTTTGATACAGTATATAAACATTTCAGTACACACTGTTCACTCCTCAGTCTATACAGCTCATCACTAAACTGCAAACACAGCATGTTTCACAAAATCAAAAACATTTACATATATCTGCCCATTCAGTCTACAGCAGTTTAGCCCCTCCCATTCAGGCTACAGCAGTTTAGCCCCACCATTCAGTCTACAGCAGTTTAGCCCCTCCCATTCAGCCTACAGCAGTTTAGCCCCGCCCATTCAGCCTACAGCAGTTTAGCCCCGCCCATTCATCCTACAGCAGATTAGCCCCACCCATTCAGCCTACAGCAGTTTAGCCCACCCACTCACACTGAAGTTATAAGGAGTGTTTCAGCCTGTGCTGCTTTCTGAATGAGGCACAGCCAGTCAGAACAAAGCTCATTTACATATATCATGCTTAAAGGCACAAAAACAAAAAGAACCTGTAACGCCCCTTATAAACAATGTAATAATAATAATAATAATAATAATAATGATAATGATAATAATTATAATAATAATAATAATAATAGTCATAGTAAACTTACTTGTTCTCAGTAATATTTTCAATTCATGTCAAAAAGTGAAAAACGATAAAAATGGAGATACAAGGTTTTGTTCCGACAGCCGCGATATTGTAATTCATCACAGTAGCGCTAAAATACCGTCATACCGCCCAGCCGTACTACAGAGAGCCCTGAAGATAAGCAGTGACATGAGCGAGTCGGGGTTCAGGAGAGAGAGATAGAGATGGAGACACGGGACAGTCGTATGTGGACAGGGTGAGAGTGGGAGGTTGTTGGCTCAGCTGTGTGGTGACCTTACAGCGTCTGACAGCTCGTCTCCACACCTTTACCTGTCAGCTCTGATGCTCAGTCCACCTGACGCAGAGAGGAAACACAATGTAAATATTTAACTCATGTCAGCATTAAAGAGCCAGTATCTTACGTTTCTCGTATGTTGTTTTTTTATGGACTAATTCATTTTTACACTCTGTTTTATCTCTCTTTATCTCTCAGAATCAAACAGGCTGGTTTTGTTACTGTAACTTTAAAACTACTATATATGTAAATGAGCTCTAATCTGACTGGACATTATGTATTGAGCCTCATTCAAAGAGCACTTCTTATGACGTCATTGTGAGTGGGTGGGGCTAAATGGCACTAGGCTAAGCAGGCAGATATATGTAGATGCACTGTTTTTTGTGACATCACAAAAACCCTGAATTCAAAATGGGCCAAACAGTAGAGTTTACATATATGGACTCGCTTTAAAGGGCCAGTTTCCTTCGTTTTTCTCATATATTACTGTTTTAAACCGGCTGTTTCTGTTATCGTGCCTTGAAGACTGATATATGTAAATGAGCCCTGCTCTGATTGGCTGTCCTGTATTGTGCCTGGTTCAAAAAGCACTCCTTATGACTTAAGCATGAGTAGGCGGGGCATAACGGTACTACACAGAACAGACAGATGCACTTATATGTAGACGCACTGGTTTTTGTGACATCACAACGAGCCTTTTAACAGTTGAATTATGGACGGGTATGTTTTTAATAAATATGCGTGAAACAAAATCACTTAAATGTAAATGCAAACAAGTAAAAATGTTGAGAAATGAGTTAAATAGTCTTATAAAAAAAGCTTATAGCAGCCTCAAGATGATAAATATTAGATATATTGACTGGATTTAAAATATTTTCCCTTGCTGAGATATGCTTTTTTTGCAGTGTTAAAAAAAATTTAAAGGGCACATATCATACATTTTTCTCATGTTATTCTGTTACTGTGCCTTTAAGACATATATATGTAAATGAGCTCTGTTCTGATTGCCTGTGCCTCATTCCAAAAGCAGTCCAGGCTGAAACACTCCTTATATCTTCAGCGTGAATGCATGATTGTGCATATTTCTGCAGAAAAACACCCACATGTGAGGACCCAGAGTCTGGGAGCACTGTTCTAGATAAGCATGTTAAAGGCTCCGCTGTGTGTTGTGTAGGAGCGAGTCCAGACGCTGGAGCAGCAGCTGAGAGAGATGGAGAGAGAGAAGGAGAGAGAGATGAATTCACTCCGTCAGGAGAAGAGAGAGCTGATCCACAAATCACAGCGGGTACACAATCACATCACAGACCTGATCTTTCTGTAGCTGTTTAAATCACATCATCACATTAATAACGTTGATATTGTTAAAGGGGAACTCCACCAATTCTTCAAAATTCCTAGATTATTAAATGATTAGGATGTAAACAGAGTGGTTCAGAGCCGTTCAGAGTGGTTTGGTGTGAAACGCTCCGTTCTAGATAAACTTACCGAGTCAGAACTGTTCACAGTGGTGGTGATAGGAACCAGACGTCCACCTCTAAAAGCTCCCTCACAGAAAGTTCCTACAGTAAATGGTTATGAATTCACTGCCTGATGACTGAGACACTGTTTTATGATAGTTTAGAGAACTTAAACTCCATTCATGGTGGAGGGATACATGCAGGGCGCTGTGAGGCAAAATAGTCCCCAAAGAAAACTTATTATTTCAGATTTTCCACTATTTTCCATCATCAACATTCCATATAGACTCAGAAGACTCGTGTAGGTTCACTGGTGGTTCTGGATAGTAAATAAAATGTCTATATCTGTGTTGTAGTCATGGCGACCCCTGGTTCCTATCACCACCACTGTAAAGACATCTGAACCGTTTCACACCAAAAACCACTCTGAATCTCTCTGTTTACATCTCCACTCACTGAGTTATGCAGACATGTCAGAAAAATAGGTGGAATTCCCCTTTGAGTAGACCATTAAACCGTCAGGGTGCGTGTTTGGGTCCACATGTTCCTCATTTCTGCTGTATGTTTTGTGGCTATCTGCAATAAGATGTGCCTGAAGGTTAAAGGGTTAAATGGTTAAAGAAACGCTTGTTTCTTATTTGCTGGCGGGACCTGCGTTAGTCCTTCAGGACTTCATTCACTCAGACTTTCAGATGTGAATGTAGACGCAGTGAGAGGAGAGAAAGGGAGACAAAGAACAACTGTGGATGAAGGAGTGTGAGAGGAAGAGTGAGGTACAAGAAGAAACTGAGAAAAGAGGAGAGAGAGAGAGAGAGAGAGAGTGAAAAGAGGAGAGGGAGGGAGGGAGGAGAGATAGCGATAAAGAGAGAGAGAGGCTGGACAGGTCTGGAGAACTTTTAAAGCAAGACCAGGTAAGATTAATACACCACAAATCAACACACTTAAATACTACTATGTATTTTCTATGAATTATTCATTATCTACCATGAATTATTAAGTATCCATTATTAAATATTCAGTAACCACTATTAATTATTCAGTAACTACTATAAATTATCAGTATCCGCTCTGAATTATTCAGTATCTACTAAGAATTATTCAGTATCCACTATGGATTATTCAGTATCTGCTATAAATTATTCAGTATCTAATATGAATTATTTAGTATCTGTATATGCTGTATAATTGAAATGGTTATGATTAAACTGAATTTAATTGATTTCCCCTGCATGGTTACAGTGAGGAGGAATGGGGGGGGGTGTTGGGGGGGCTACAACAGAGAGGTCAGGAGTCATACACCAGCTGTTATGTAAAATGGAAATATGAGCTAAATCTGCAGTGAGAGAGACAGAGAGAGAGAGAGAGAGAGAGAGAGAGAGAGAGAGTAAAGGGTTAAACAGACTGACTGAGCGACTCATGTGTTTCTGAGTCAGACGAGAGAGAGAGAGAGAGAGAGAGAGAGAGACAGAGCGAGAGATAAGGAGGGAGAATGAGAAGGAAAAAGAGGGAGTGTGTGAGAAAAAGAGGGAGGGGGAAGGAAAAAGAAAGAGGGAAAGAGGGAAGGAAAGATAGAGAGGGAGGGAGAGAAGGAGAGAGAGAGAGATAGGGAGCGTGACAGAGAGAGAGAGGCTGATTAACTCATTAGTGTTTGCGGCGCTGCTCGGGCTGGTCTGTGGTTTGGTTCCCCGGGTCGTCTGGTACGTTGCAACTTGTTTTTTCTGTTTTTGCTTCCCTCAAATGAAACTGATTGTTGTTGTAATTCTGCTCTAACTGAAAGTAGAAGTGTCTGACTGTCGTCAGGTGATCTGTGTGATCAGCTTTCTCTTCGTTTACCCAGCGTTTCTCTTCCTTTACTGTTTTTATTTTCTGCCACATTTACTTTCTTGACGGTTTCTGTCTTATTAGATTTCAAAAGAGAAAACTCTCACTGATTGGCCCAGAATCACTGGCCCCGCCTCCAGCATGACATCACTGTCTCCGGTGACCTCTCACAAACCAGCACAGGTACAGTTCATCACTTTAAACAGGAATTACGTCTATTTTTTAAAGACTTTTCCTCCATAATTCAGTGTGTGGGGTGTAAACAGACTGATTCAGAGTGGTTTGGTGTGAAATGGTTCAGATGTCTTTACAGTGGTGGTGATAGGAACCAGGGGTCGCCATGACTACAACACAGATATAGACATTTTATTTACTATCCAGAACCACCAGTGAACCTACACGAGTCTTCTGAGTTTATATGGAATGTTGATGATGGAAAATAGTGGAAAATCTGAAATAATAAGTTTTCTTTGGGGACTATTTTGCCTCACAGCGCCCTGCATGTATCCCTCCACCATGAATGGAGTTTAAGTTCTCTAAACTATCATAAAACAGTGTCTCAGTCATCAGGCAGTGAATTCATAACCATTTCATGTAGTAACTTTCTGTGAGGGAGCTTTTAGAGGTGGACGTCTGGTTCCTATCACCACCACTGTGAACAGTTCCGACTCGGTAAGTTTATCTAGAACGGAGCGTTTCATACCAAACCACTCTGAACCGCTCTGTTTACATCTCAACCATCAAAGTTCCAAGAATTTTGACAAATCGGTGGAATTCCCCTTGTAGAATGCTGGTTTAAGCAGAGTTGTAGTTTCCATTCACAGCTGTCCTCAGTTCAGTTCTGCTGAAATGCTAAGATCTCTCCTTTTGGCTCGTTTTCTGTTCAGGACCCGCTGAAGGAGCTGTCGAGTTTACCGCGCAGACGCAGTTCCCACCGCAAGACCGCAGAACGGCCGCTCTCAACACAAGGTGAGCAGCTTTTAGAGTTTAAAGGAAATACCCGCATTTTAAAACCGGGTCTTTATCTGCTGTATCTGCAGAACGTGGCTGATTCAGCAGGAAACAGAAAACGGCCCCTCAGTTATTTTTTCCTGGGTTGGTCAGACACTAGAGGGCGCTCATGAGAGACTCTAAAAGGAATGGGCTCCTATGAAGCTTTAAAAATTGTAATATGTAGGTGTGTTCTTGGATCAGTAAACTGCTCACACTGGAAGAGCCAGTATTGCGACTGTGGTTTCTGTGTCGACATGCACTTCTGCCCTTGAATTAGCATCAAAGACTCCTCTTACACTCTCACGCCTGGAGAGGGGCAGAGTGGCAGGGACTCGTAAACTCTGATCATTGTTTAGAACTGTAGGTAGACACTGAGCTAATGCTTGCTATTCTTGTGTGATCGTCCTGTCGCTGACTGCAAATGATTTCAGCACACACACACACACACACACACACACACACACACACACTCCACAGTTCCCACAGCTAGCAGAGGGAATTTCACTGGAAAGAGTCCTTAGCAGCAGGGAAAATCCACAGCTACGGTGCATCACACAGGCGGCCGGCCCAGGAAGCCTCGAAAGCCAAAGATGTTTTTTGCCACGAAGAGGGAGCATTTTCCTGCAGCCGAACACCACCAGTCTAGGCAGCCTCATAGCTGCAGTGCAGTGTCACCCAAGCAGCCGGCCCGAGAGGCCTTGTAGCCACGGCGTAGCGCTGCTCATGCAGCCGAACACTGCCGATCCAGGCAGCCCCACAGCTGCAGTGCAGCATCAACCAAGCAGCCGGCCCAGGCTGCGATGTCATGTTGATCAGGTCCCCAGTCCAGAGAGCCCCGTAGCCATGATGCAGCGTCACTCAAGCAGCCAGTCCAGGCTGCATAAGAGCTGAGATGTAGTGTCACCCAAACAGCCAGTCCAATGAGTCCAATCAATCTCCAGTACCACAATGTGAAGTTCTAGGCTCACGGCCCAGTCAATCTCCAGTACCACAATGTGAAGTTCTGGGCTCACGGCCCAGTCAATCTCCAGTACCACAATGTGAAGTTCTAGGCTCACGGCCCAGTCAAACTCCAGTAACGCGATGTTAAGTTTTAGGCTTGCGGGCCAATCAATCTCCAGTACCACAATGTGAAGTTCTAGGCTCGCAGCCCAGTCAATCTCCAGTACCATGATGTGAAGTTCTAGGCTCGCTGCCCAGTCAATCTCCAGTACCACGATGTGAAGTTCTAGGCTCGCATCCCAGTCAAACTATGCAGTTGTGGTGCAAAGTCCACAATTCAAGGCCTAGTTAAACATCACTACTGCAGTGAAAAGTGACCAGCTGGCACTGACAAACTCTACTATCATGATGCAAAGTCCATGGCTTGCCTCCCTTTCAGTCCATTACCGGGGTTAAAAGGGACCCAGCTTGCGGCCCAGTCAATTTATGATGCAAGTTAGCCACACAAACCGCTACTGCGGTAACTCCATGTTTAGGAGTGTTTGAGGGTTAAAGTCTGTTCCATTTTTAAACGTACATGTTTCAGCAAGTGAGCACTCGTGTTGCATGTGAATGACTCAGGTACAAAGTTCAGGAGAGCGAGGGAAAAAAGAAACGGAACAGAGCGGACTGGGCAGGAGCGGCCGTGGGTGTGCACTGCGCCATGATTCAGTCATCGTAAGCAAATAGGGTCACAGGTGTAGGTTCCAATAAACTCTCTCTTTCACTGACTTTTACTCACGCCAGTGTGTTTGTGTTTCAGGGCTGGTGAGGATGGGACCCGACAGGTTGAGTCCTGAAGCTCTCACTCCTCCTCTTCCTCACCCTGCACACAGACTCGTTAACGGGAATGCTAATGGTAGGCCTAGCGCTAACGGGAACACTAATGGAAGGCCTAATGCTAATGGGAACGCTAACGGCTTTCTCACACCATGTAATAGCACCAACAGCTCCAGAGCTCCCAGGTGAGTCAGGAGCTTACCTGTGTTTAGTATCATCTGTATCAGTATATTCTTGTGTCACACAAAAATATTGTTTTTTTGGTTTTAGCGGCCTTGACGAGTGCAGTTCTACTCATAAGTTTACATATTCTAAGCAAAATTTTTAGAAAATAAGAGTGAACAGACAAAACATTATTTTTCTTTAGTAATAGTGTTCAGATTAAGCGGTTAATCATCACAGAAGGTATTGTGTTTACATGTATTATATTCATCATTATAATAACTATAATAATAATTACTACAGTCCCTTGTCAAATCATATTCTATTCCACAAAATAGCAGTACCTCTGTTGCCATTCCAAAAGAAATACATACATACATCATCTAAACCGCTTATCCTTCTGGGTCGCGGTGGGGTGCTGGAGCCTATCCCAGCTGTCATTGGGCGGAAGGCAGGATACACCCTGGACAGGTCGCCAGTCCATCACAGGGCAGACAGACAGACATACACAGTCACACCTAGGGGCAATCTGACTGCATGTCTTTGGACTGTGGGAGGAAACCGGAGTACCTGGAGGAAACCCACGCAGACACGGGGAGAACAGGCAAACTCCACACAGAAATGACCCTGGTCGCCCGGCCAGGAATCGAACCCAGGCCATTCTTGCTGTGAGGCGACAGCGTTACCCACTGCGCCGCCGTGCTGCCTCCAAAAGAAATATACTATGAAAACTTCCCTCTGGTGTCATTTTAAAAGCCCAAAACAAAAAAAAAGTTATTTTAAAAAGTATATAAGCTTAGCTAATAACAGTAGCAGCAGTACAGAAGCCTGAATTGTTTATGCTAATGTAGCTAACAAGCAATGGAAGCATATACCCCACCAGTTAGCATGGTGCTACCTGCAAACCTAAATCATCACTTGCTTGAAATCAAATGTGTACATTTCTGTCCTGCTAATTAAAGAAAATTTTCCTGTTCCATCTTAAATTGTGCAGCAACAAAAATTGTGCGGGAACAAAAAACTTAAATAAGGAGCCAACTTCACTGACATGTTTACGGCAAGTATTAATGAGTTAATTTTGTGCCACAGTGTTTGAGAGAAGATCATGATATTTGAGAGAGGAATGTTACGGTTAGAGAGGACAGCAGTGCTGATTTATCAGTAATACGCTTTCATAAATAATAACGTATTAATCTAACTAACATTGGTAGCTCGGCCATTCGTTTCCTACCAGAGGCTTAACGTTAGTTAACTTCAAATAAACAGCTCAACATTAATCAACTAAGCTGATGTTTATATATATATATATATATAGAATATATATATATATTCTTCCTTTTATATTGTTTCACCCTTATTATTATTCTGTGTTGTGTGACTGCTACTGGCTGCTAAATTTCCTTCAGAATCAATAAAGTATCTATCTATCTACACTATTTTGCCAAAAGTGTCCACTCACCCATCCAAATCATTGAATTCAGGTGTTCCAATCTCTTCCATGGCCACAGGTGTATAAAACCGAGCACCCTAGGCCTGCAGACTGCTTCTACAGACATTAGTGAAAGAATGTGTCGCTCTCAGTAGCTCAGTGAACTCCAGCGTGGTACCCTGATAGGACGCCACCTGTGCAACAAGTCCAGTCGTGAAATTTCCTCACTACTAAATATTCCACAGTCAACTGTCAGTGGTATCATAACAAAGTGGAAGCGATTGGGAACGACAGCAACTCAGCCACGAAGTGGTCGGCCACGTAAAATGATAGAGCGGGGTCAGCGGATGCTGAGGCGCATAGTGCGCAGAGGTCACCAACTTTCTGCAGAGTCAATCGCTACAGACCTCCAAACTTCATGTGGCCTTCAGATCAGCTCAAGAACAGCATAGAGAGCTTCATGGAATGGGTTTCCATGGCTGAGCAGCTGCATCCAAGCCACAAATGCGCTTCTGGGAAAATGGTCAGAAATTCCCATAAACACTCCTAACCCTTGTGGAAAGCCTTCCCAGAAGAGTTGAAGCTGTTATAGCTGCAAAGGGTGGGCCAACATCATATTAAACCCTATGGATTAAGAATGGGATGTCACTCAAGTTCATATGTGTGTGAAGGCAGACGAGCGAATACTTTTGGGAATGTAGTCTGTCTATCTATCTATCTATCTATCTATCTATCTAGATATCTATCTATCTATCTATCCATCTGTCTATTTATCTTGTAAAGCGCCGCTGTCCTCTCAAACCATAACATTCCTCTCTCAAACATTTTGGCACAAAAATAGGTTAAAGTGTGAAATAATTCATTGAAGTAGTTAGCATCATGCTAACTGGTGGCTTCCATTTCTTGTTAGCTACATTAGCCTCGTGGCTCCAGTGCTAAAAATAAAGCAGTACGTCAGACAGCAGGTTTAACATCTGTGCTCTGCTGTTTTAAAGCCCCAGTCTGTGTCTGCTGGACCTGGTGGAGATCGAGAGGAAGCTGCGTGAGGCTAAAGCGGAGAGAGAACGGCTGCTGAAGGAGAGAGTGAGTCACACAGAGAACCGGAGAACTGTGAGAACTTCATAATGCTGAGGAATGCTAGTGACGCTGCTACGCTAACACAGTTACATCTGCATTCCTCACAGCAGACCTGGGCAAGACACACTTAGACAATGCACGCTAAGCTAACCAGTTACTCAGGATCAGCGTTAAAGGGCCTGTATCATGGAAAATTTTGAAATAAAAGGGTTTTATGTAGAATATCATTACTGTCAACACTGTTTCAGCATGTACCATTCACTCCTTACAGTCCTCATATCACTGTTGTGGGATGAAAACCTCGTATCTCCAAAATGGTAACTTTACAGGAGAAGGAAAAAACCTGCTTTACTTTTAATGTAAGTCAATGTAACCAGAATTTTAACCAAGTCATTTTGGGTCATTTCTTTTAGCCTATTCATCATGACATTTACATACGATATAAAGGGTAATGGGTATTTTCAAATTATGTCAAAAACTGAAAAACGACAAAAATGGAGATACGAGGTTTTCTTCCAAAAACAGCGATATGTAAGCTAACCTGCAAAAACAGAGCAACCTTTTTGTGATGTCACCAATACAAAACCAATACATTCGCATATATCTGGGCGTTCACCCTGCAGCAGTTTAGCTCTGCCCATTGATGCTGAAGTTACAAGGAGTGTTTCAGCCTGGACTGCTTTTGAATTAGGCACAGCCAATCAGAACAGAGCTTATTTACATATATCAGTCTTAAAAGCACAGTAATTTAATTCTGAAAGCAGTTGAAAAATGTAAAATGCAGAAATTAATTATGCATGTTTTTGGTACAGAAAAACAGTACAAATGTTATAAGTGGGCCTTGTGGGGGGGGGGGGGGGCTAATAGTAAATATAATAAGTAATAAAAATAGGAAATATGTAGGATATCGGCCCTTTAATGTGAACAGACTAACCCCTCTGTTTGTCACTGCAGGAAGAGCGAAGACAGAAGGAGCTGGAGGCACTGAACACACACACTCACACACACCTCAGCACACCTCAGCACACCACCACAAACACACCTGAACACACTCCCCCCGACACGCACTCCAAAACACCCCCCGACACACACACTGAGGAGGAGCACAGAGTCAGCCCAGCTCACAAAGCCCCCCAGGTAACACAGCTACTAGTGTCTTTATTTTCACAGTAATTACTGTTAAGTTCACCTGATGAAGCCATTGGTGTAAAACCCCAGGTGGTTGCTAAGGTGTTCCTGGCTGTTCCTGTTATTCCAGGTGGTTTCGAAGGTGTTACTGGGTCATGGTATCCCAGGTTGTTGCCAACGTATTACTAAGACATTTCTATGAAATCCTAGGTGGTTGCTAAGGTGTTCTTCAACCATTGCTACGGTATCCCAGTTGCTAAAGTACTAGGCCATTGTTATGGTATCTCAGGTGGTTGATAAGGTTGCTTAGACACTGCAAAGAAATCCCAGGTGGTTGCTAAGGTGTTGCTAAGACATTGCTATGAAATCCCAGGTGGTTGCTAAGGTGTTGCTAGGCAATTGCAATGAAACCCCACCTGGTTGCTAAGGTGTTACCAGGCCATTGCTGCGGTATCCTAGGTGGTTGCTAAGGTGTTGCTAAGACATTGCAATGAAATACCAGATGGTTGCTAAGGTGTTGCTAAGACATTGCTATGAAGTTCCAGGTGGTTGCTAAGGTGTTGCTAGACCATTGCTACGGCATCTCAGGTGGTTGCTAAGGTGTTGCTAAGACATTGCTACGAAGTTCCAGGTGGTTGCTAAGGTATGCTACACCATTGCTATAGTATCTCAGGCTGTTGCTAAGGTGTTGCTAAGACACTGCAATGAAATCCCAGGTGGTTGCTAAGGTGATGCTAAGACATTGCAATGGAATCTGAGGTGGTTACTAAGGTGTTGCTAGACCATTGCTACGGCATCTCAGGTGGTTGCTAAGGTGTTGCTTTTGCCATTACATTATTGTTTAAATGTATTTACATAAGAAAGTTACATAATGAATTACATTTATATTCAGTTCTGTATGGACAGGTTTAACTCTACTGTTCTACTTACAGACACTACTGTGTTCTAGACAGAAAATGTAGAATCTGCAGTTGTCTAACTGAGTGTATCTCGATTTTAAATACGTTTAGTAATGACAGCACTAACTGTTTGATATATGAGAGATTTAATTAGGGTTCGTTAATGAGGAGGCTCTGATAAAACATGATTTTGATGACTGTTTCCTCATCAGCAGGGTGTCCCCCTGTCCCTGACGGTGAACTTTGACCTGCGGGCTCATGTGGAGTCTCTGGGTCACGGCGTGGCAGGGGTGTATGGGTGTGAGTTTATCTGCGCGAAGGTGCGAGGGGTTCCTGACGAAGCGTGGAGGCCGAGTGAAGACCTGGAGGAGGAGATGGTTCCTGTTTGATCTGGACCACCGCAGACTCGCATATTACACCGGTGAGAAACGGCCATAGCTACAATACACTACAGGAAGTGTAGGGGGCGATATGGCTTCTACTGTTTCATTTAAAAAGCCTCTATAATGTTCTTATGATCCACACAGTCATTCTGACAGACTGTAATACACTACAGGAAGTGTAGGGGGCGATATGGCTTCTACTGTTTCATTTAAAAAGCCTCTATAATGTTCTTATGATCCACACAGTCATTCTGACAGACTGTAATACACTACACGAAGCGTAGGGGGCGATATGGCTTCTACTGTTTCATTTAAAAAGCTCTATAATGTTCTTATAATCCACACAGCCTCACTTGAGTTGAAGGGGAAACTCTGCCGGAGTGAAATTAGAGGAACTGCACCGTCTGACTTGAACACTGTCTCATAATGAACTCTCTCTGTTTCTATCTGAGTGCAGATCACGATGAGAGGAAGCTGAAGGGGGTGATCTACTTTCAGGCCATAGAGGAAGTTTACTATGACCATCTGCGTACAGCTACCACAGTGAGTTCTCCATGTTCTCATCACTCTTACCTGCATTTCTCTGAAACTAAATCCTGATAGAGTTAGGCTACTGGATAAGGGGTTAATTTCCTCTTTAAAAACATAAAACAATTATTTTCATTATTTTTATAATTCAGTGTGTAAACAGAGAGATTCAGAGTGGTTTGGTGTGAAATGGTTCAGATGTCTTTACAGTGGTGGTGATGGGAACCAGGGGTCGCCATGACTACAACACAAATATAGACATTTTATTCACTATCCAGAACCACCAGTGAACCTACACGAGTCTTCTGAGTTTATATGGAATATTGATGATGGAAAATAGTGGAAAATCTGAAATAATAAGTTTTCTTTGGGGACTATTTTGCCTCACAGCGCCCTGCATGTATCCCTCCACCATGAATGGAGTTTAAGTTCTCTAAACTATCATAAAACAGTGTTTCAGTCATCAGGCAGTGAATTCATAACCATTTCATGTAGGAACTTTCTGTGAGGGAGCTTTTAGAGGTGGACGTCTGGTTCCTATCACCACCACTGTGAACAGTTCTGACTCAGTAAGTTTATCTAGAACGGAGCGTTTCACACCAAACCACTCTGAACCACTCTGAACCACTCTGTTTACATCTTACCCACTTAATCATGCAGAAAAGGTTGGAACATTAGTGGAGATCCTCTTTGTCGCTCGGTGCAGTTATGACAGTATAACACATTTTCAGGTTGGGATATCTGAAATGTTCAGGTTTAAAACGTGGGTATTTAAATCTCTCACAGTCTCCTCGGCCCAGCCTGACGTTCTGCGTGAAAACATACGAACGGCTCTTCTTCCTTGTGGCTCCGAGCGCCGAGAGCATGCGGATATGGATGGACGTCATCGTCACGGCAACAGATGAGCACAGCAGATACTGACCACCGTTTGCCGTGGCGACCTCAAACCTGGAGTCGCGTGAACCAGCAATAAGAGACCACATTCGGAGAACATGGAGCCTGAGCCCAGAGCAGCAGTGAGGAGGGAACACAAACCAGCCTGGAAAAGCTGAGCCGAGCTTACAGGAGTGAACTGAACACACAAAACCCAAAACAGGACTCGGCGGACCCTCAGAACCGCCAGAAAAGAGAGACAGTGGGCGAGCAGGTCTGTGGGACGACACAAAACACAAACTTTCAGAGGGACTTTTAACCTCTGTGGTGTCTGTTCTATTTACAAACCAGACAGAAAGGACAAAAGTCCCGCACGCTTCACAAAAAAACACCAGATACACAGCGATATGAGATCTCACAGCTTTATAGTAAACGTAGAGCTGGGCAGTATGGCAGAAATAATATTGTGATACTTCACAATACACGGTATGTCACAGTATGGACGTCTGATCAGCTGGAACTGAGACAAAAAGAGACGCATTTAAAAATAATACTATCAAAAACTGTGAACACTGATTTTTATTCAATATTTGGCAATAAATCCAGTTAAACAGACTAATTTTGCTCTCTTTATAATGAAACATGCAGCTGTTTAGTGTTTACAAATACTGATGATATCATATGTTCAGAAAAGCATACACAGTAAGTACTGTCACATAATTTATCACAATAACAATATATATATATGTATATATTCACTGTGTGAAAATAACATTTAAAAAGCTGTTTATCTGGACAGTACGTGTTTATATTTACCGTTTCCTGCCCTCTCATCAAGGAAGCCCAGCAGTTACAGCTACCATCCAATACCTGATTTACCTTATCAATACTTTATTATGCTGAATCAGGTGCTGGTGATGGAATCGAACCAATAAAAAGCTTTGTTCTTCAGACTAGCTCACAAGATATCAACCACTTTTTCTTTAAAACAAGGAATTCTTGTCTGTATTTACTGTGTTTATGTTTATCTGTATTTATTCTGGTGTGATGTTGGGTTTTCACTGACAGGGAACACCTGATAATGACTTTAAACAATGTGTTTGGGTGCCTGAAACTACTGAAAGTGCCTTAGAGGCAACTACAAATGCAACATTAGTTCCACTGATGGTCACACAGCGTGCGGGAATATTGACCTTGTGCTCTTTCATAGAACAGACACCGTTAAAGGGCCCATATCACACATTTTTCTTGCATTTTGTTTTTTCGTCCGGACCACTTTCCATCCCATCTTTATCTCTCAGAATTAAAACGGGCCGTTTCTGTTACTGTTTCTTTAAGGCTGATATATGTAAATGAGCTCTATTCTGATTGGCTGCCCTGTCTTGAGCCTGGAGCGTGAACGCTTCTTATAACTTCAGTGTGAGTGGGCGGGGCTAAACTGCTGTAGGCTGAAGAGGTGGATACGCATGTAAATGTGTTGGTGCGACTGATTGTGCAGGTCAGGGTCTGTATATGGACCGTATGGACAGGGACTGAATGGTACACTTTGAAACTACTACATCTAAGTCTCTTATTTAAAAAATGCAAGTAAAATTTAACCTTCTATGATGTGGCCCTTTAAAATCACAGGTTAAAATTCACAGAGGTTATAGAGTTTGATGCCAGTTTGTTCATCTAAACTGACCACAGGGACTCCTCTGGAACGTTCTGGTCTGATGTGTTCACCTCTAAAAGGTACTTTTGGTCATTTCTGAATGGACTTCTGTGGACTAACACCACGTGTGCTGATCCAGCGGTCTCTATTCTGAGCAGCAGCTCTTATTTATGTTATTATTCAGGGTAAATCTGCTATATGATTGGCTGCTGCCACCTTGTGGTCACTCGGAGAACACTAAGTTACTGTGAGGTACAGGGAACTTTAATAATGCTTCTTATACACTATTTATTACGGGGTTACATTGTTTATGATTAACATTAAAGTGTAAAAACTTGAAGAATGTAAGTGTGACTGTTACATACTGACCTATTTGTGCTTCCTTTGTCTTTTTCTTCTGGATTTCACGAACATAACTCCTACAGTTACTCTCATTCTTAATTATTCAATAAAGATTTTAAGACAGTTTTACCTGTTCGGTCTGAAGCTGCTTACATGTGACTCAGATGGTCTTTTTACAGCCTCACATTCATTTACAGCGTGTTTCTAAGTGTGTGTGCATGCTTGGTAAAGAGATTCAGAGCAAAAGTGAAAGGACAGTATTGGTGAATGAACAAAAACATAATGTGTCATGGCTCATTCTCAGCACTGCAGTAACACTGACGTGGTGGTGGTGTGTTAGTGTGTGTTGTGCTGGTCTGAGTGGATCAGGCACAGCAGTGCTGCTGGAGTTTTTAAACACCTCAGTGTCGCTGCTGGACTGAGAATAGTCCACCAACCACAAATATCCAGCCAATAGCGTCCTGTGGGCAGCGTCCTGTGACCACTGATGAAGGACTAGAGGATGACCAACACAAACTGTGCAGCAGCAGATGAGCTATCGTCTCTGACTTTACATCTACAAGGTGGACCGACAAGGTAGGAGTGTCTAATAGTGAGTGGACAGTGAGTGGACACAGTGTTTAAAAACTCCAGCAGCACTGCTGTGTCTGATCCACTCAGACCAGCGCAACACACACTAACACACCACCACCACGTCAGTGTTACTGCAGTGCTGAGAATGATCCACCACCCAAATAGTACCTGCTCTGTGAGGGTCCATGGGGGTCCTGACCACTGAAGAACAGGGTAAAAGGGGGCTAACAAAGTATCAGAGAAACAGATGGACTACAGTCTGTAAAACACACATATATACATATACTTTTAAGTGTGTGGGTAACAGCATGGAATAGTCTGTTATAACTAAGGCCTGGGGCTGCTTTGACCTTACTGGAAATAATTGCTGCAATTTCAAATTACTGCTGTTTTTAAAATGTACAAAAGTAATAATAAATAAAAATATACTGAAAATCAACATCATCAGTTTCATGTTATTTCAGTGACCATTGTGGGTTTTTCTTTTTTAACGGAAGGGTACAAACAATTTTGTCCATGTGTATGTGTGTATGTATGCGTGTGTATATACATATATATATATATATATATGTATATATATATTTTTTTTTCAGTATGTCTAATTTGTATCTTCATGGGGGTCCTTTCTAAGCTGTACTGACTCCACACACCCCGTCTCGTCTCCAGGCTTTTATTTTACTGTTCTGTTTAAAACATTCTGTTATGAAAAGGTACAAATACGAACTTTTCACCTGGAAAAACTGATTTAAGGTTCACAATCAGACCTTAGAACCGCTGTTGGAGCTTTGAGGGAACATTTACACTGTTTGTACCTTGATGCACTGATAATGTACCAGAACAAAACCTTTATTTCAGTGCAGGAAAGAGAAAGTGAAAGAATATTCAGGCCCTCACCGTTGGAGACAGGAACAACCAACAACGCTCATATCGTGTGTCCTCACAGTGAAATGGCCTCTTTAGAAGCAGAACTGTGCTGTTCGATCTGCTCTGAGATATTCACGGATCCAGTTTTACTGACGTGTAGCCACAGCTTCTGTAAGGAGTGCCTGCAGAAAGTCTGGCACACGAAGAGCTCACCTGAATGTCCGCTGTGCAGGAGAAGGTCTTCGAAAGAGTTCCCTCCTCTGAATCTGGTTCTAAAACACGTGTGCGAGGTGCTTAAGAAGGAAAAAAGTAAGAAATCGTGCAAAGGAGCGGTTTGTGATCTCCATCAGGAAGATCTCAGACTCTTCTGTAAGAATGACGAGCAGCCGGTCTGCGTGGAGTGCGTGGGGTCAGGAAAACACCAAGGCCACGAGTTCTGCAAGCTCACGGAGGCCATTCAAGAGAAAAAGGCAAGTTAAAATTACATTGCATGCACAGAAAGGGAGCTGAGGCCGTTGGTTAGTGGCGTTTCATTAAAGGGGAACCGCAAAAATTCTACATAATTACCCTGCTGAAAAAGAACCATTAGAAACCATTGGGTTTTGCTTTCTAATGGAAATTGGCATAATGGTTTCCAATAGAGACCACTAGTTTTCTGTAGAACCCCTTTAGATCCCATTAGGAAACCATCACATGCATTCAGAATTCACCAATGGTCTCCTGGTAAACCATTAGGACCCTTTACACTGTGATATCAACCCATTAAAAAAGATTAAACACATCAGGACACAAGACAAAACCATCAGGAACCAACATACACACTTACTGGTTTCTACAAGGTTTTTCAGCAGGGTGAAGAGATGTAAACAGAGTGGTTCAGAGTGGTTCTGAGTGGTTAAGAGAGGTTCAGAGTGGTTCGGTGTGAAACGCTCTGTTCTAGATAATCTTACCGAGTCAGAACTGTTCACAGTGGTGGTGATAGGAACCAGACGTCCACCTCTAAAAGCTCCCTCACAGAAAGTTCCTACATGAAATGGTTATGAATTCACTGCCTGATGACTGAGACACTGTTTTATGATAGTTTAGAGAACTTCAACTCCATTCATGGTGGAGGGATACATGCAGGGCGCTGTGAGGCCAAATAGTCCCCAAAGAAAACTTATTATTTCAGATTTTCCACTATTTTCCATCATCAACATTCCATATAGACTCAGAAGACTCGTGTAGGTTCACTGGTGGTTCTGGATAGAAAATAAAATGTCTATATCTGTGTTGTAGTCATGGCGACCCCTGGTTCCTATCACCACCACTGTAAAGACATCTGGACCATTTCACACCAAACCTCTCTGAATCACTCTGAAAATGGCAGTTCTCTGGCTAGCTCTCACTCGTACTGTTAGCACTGCCTTGCACAAGTCATGGTGCTTTATTTTCCAGCTGTTGTTGGCCACAGCCACACCATACACAGCAAAGCTTTTCCCTCTCTAACAACTCATTCTCTAACCCAGCTCACATCTCTTTCCCGGTACGAGTTCACTTGCAACTTTGTCTTGCTCCATCCCGTTCATTTCAGTGAAGAGCTCTGCGCTATGTTGCAAATAAATGTATATGAATTTGTGTCCATCTGGTTTTTTACTGTAAGAGTGATGAATTTAAAATATGCTTTATATTGAAAATTGCCAAGTAGTCCCTGCCCATTCGTTGAGAAGGTGAATTTTAATTAATCGGGTTTGATTAATTATTACTTTCATACCACAGGTGGTCACAGAATGAACACAGACTGAAGCACATCACTGCTCCATGCTTATGTCTGTCAGTGTCTGCTCTACCACGTTCTTAAATTTCAAACTTCTTTTCTTTTCTTTTCTCAGGATGAGCTGACGGCAGCTTTACACCCGCTGAGAGACAAGCTGGATGATTTAGAAAAAATCAAACGGAGCTGTAATTCTACAGCAGCATACATTAAGGTGGTATATTGATCTCAATATGTTATTTATTTTTACCTAAAGTTGAAGTGTGGTGGCAGAAGTGTTATAACTGCATAACAGTAAAACCTAAATCATTACCGAAATCATTAAAAGACCAGGAAAACCCCCCTACTGATCTTGAAGGAAGTAGATTTTGAAAATCTACAAGTGCTTTGGGGTATTTATTTATTTTTTTTATCTAGCTGTCTATTGAAGTTAGTGCTGTTTCACTAATGTTAGCTAGCACCGCAGATTTTTGTAAGCTTCTGTACAGATGGCTAGCACTCAAGATTTGTTGAGTGCCGTAAGGATACCCAATGGTTGTGTGTTGTAATTTGTGTAATGCATGCTGGGTGTTGTAGTTAGAGAACAACAATAGATGAAAACATGAAATCCATACAAAATCTAGAATTTTGTTAAAGCCCTGAGTTCACTACACAACTTTTAAAGTCTTAACAGATTATAAAAGCTGGGCATCTTACACTGTCAGTCTGACTAAAATATTGGGGATCAAACACCACTGAACTTCTAAGTTGTTGCTAAACCGAACTGAGCCCACGTGAACTCACGTATTCTCCTGTTACTGGGAGACGCAGGTGAACTGATCGTGGAGCTGCTACTGCTGTTGTCTCTGCCGTTTGCACTGACACAGTAAAGAAGCAGCAGGTAAACATGTTTAAGTGAGGATCACGGATGTAAAGATGTGATCAGTCTGGGAGTTTTCAGAGTTTTAGATGGACAAACTCGACTGTGCTTTAAACTCAGTTCATTAAAAGCTTCACTGCACACAAGTGACTTTTCACCATTTTTCTTCTTTTACTTGCTGTATTTTCCTCTTTTGTAGAGCGCTGTCCGTTTTCATCAGCCGTTGAAGGAGTCTGTTCAATTAGACACTGCTATCAATCAAATCAATCAATCGATCAACATTTATTAAAACATTGAGCGTGACCCTCATTTACAGCATAGCCAAGCCTACAGAAAGTAAGGATTGAAGAAATGGGAGTAATGAAAATAGAAAAAATGTGACTGTAAAAACATATCAAATGTTAAAAATAATAGTTATAATAATCATAGTGGTAAAATCTAAGAATAGAAGAATTTAGGAATTTAAGAAAAATCATTCAAATCAGAATAAACATAGATTACACACAGAATCGGGTCAGAAAAATCAAGCATGTGATAAACTCTGACTGGTCTAAAACTCGATTGGGAGGCAGTAAATCTGAGTCTGCGCCTCTCACACACAACTTTCTCTCCAACTGTCGACTCCAACTGACCCAAAAATCTGCAGACTAGAGTCGACCAGCTCAGACTGAGCATCAGGGCTAAAATCAGGATCAAAGTTGTGTCGTTTCACTCCAGGCTGTGCTACAGAAAACTGCTCTAGTTTTAGGCCCTTAAGCTTGAAGGTTTGTAGAAGAGGTAAGATAACGGACAGTGAACTTCTCGCTTCTCCTGCAGAAGCAGGCTGATCAAACAGAGGCCCAAATAAGGCAGGAGTTTGAGAAGCTGCACAAGTTTCTGCGGGAAGAGGAGGCGGCACGCATAGCGAAACTCCGAGAAGAGGAGAAGGAGAAGAATAAGACGCTGGAGGAAACCATCCAGAAGATTAGCAGGAAGCTGGACTCCCTCTCTGAGACTATAAAGACCATAGAGCATCAGATGAAGGCGGACGATGTTCCTTTCCTTCGGGTGAGTGAGGGCCAGTGGACCTGACATTATTATACTTTTGCTATATAA